CTGTCCCAGGGTGCCCAGGGAGGCTGTGGCTGCCCCAACCCTGGCAGTGTTCACAGCCAGGTTGGATGAGCCTTGAGCAACCTGCTCTGCTGGGAGGTGTCCCTGCCCAGGGCAGGGCTTGGGACTAGGAAAAACTTCTGCCTAATAACTAGCCTAAATTTCCCCTCTTTCAATTTCTCCCCATTACTCCTCATCCTGTCACTGCAGTTCCTAATCAAGAGTCCCTCTGCAGCTTCCCTGGAGCCCCTTCAGCTCCTGGCAGGTTGCTCTAAGTTTTCCAGACAACCTTCTCTTCTCCAGGATGAACAGCCCCAACTTCCTCAGCCATATCACTGATCAAATAAAGATCACCCCAAGTTACTGGACAAGCTGCATCTGCAACCACCGAACCCCCATTCTCCCTCCCTCTCTCTCTCAGCCTCACATTTATTGCTAAATAAAACCCACATTATTATATTATTAATATATGGTCTCATTTGCCCTTAATTTGGGCAAAAGCATCTCTCACTACTCAGATCCTAACGAGGACAAAACACCATCTAGCTGGAGGGAGGGTGGTGGAGACAGATCTTCCTCCTTTCTAGGCAAAAGGCATCAGCTCCTCCAACTGGGTAAAACTGGCTGGTTTTTAATTAAAAGATACCAGTGAGTTCCAGAATGTGCAGAGCTCCAGGGAGCAGTGTAAAGTGGTGATTCCCAGCAAAGCCAGCCCTGACAGGAAAGGGGCTTGGGCACATTGCCAGTTCCCTGAAAGAAATCACAGTGCATCATGTGGGGGATGTGCCACGTGGCAGAGAATCCCAGACAAGGAACCTCCAGAGCAACATGGAAGTGAACATCATTGCAGATGTGGCACTTGAGGACGTGGTTTAGTGGTGGAGTGTCAGGTTAATGGTTGGACTCGATGACCTTGGAGGTCTTTTCCAAGCTTAATGATTGTAGGATCAGTCACCATCAGGCCACACAATGCTGTCCAGTTTGGCTTTGGCCTTGATGATGAACTCCTCGGAGGCATCAACGAGCGGAAGCCGTGGCGGTCCCATGGGAATGCCAGAAACAAAAGTCATCACAGCTTTAGTTTGTGCAACACCAAAACCTGTGTGGAGAAAAATAAAATCAGGACATTTACACACCATTTTGCTTCAAGTATCCTCAGTAGAGGTGTCCAAAAAAGCAGCAGCATAGACTGCCTGTGTCATCCAGCATCAACCAGGCTCACATCTCCTTATGAACCTCTGGAAACTCAGTGTTTGCCTCTTCATCTACAAGATGCATTTCCTCTGACTTTGAACACAAGAAAAAACAGCCAAGCACTAAGCTCAGCTAGATCCATCACAGCAAAACCACAGTGAATAATTCTCTTCATCACATGTCTGACTGAATTTAATTTAACCACTCAATGTGTGATTCACTGTCCCTACACCACTCTGACTTGGTTGGGTTTAATTGCTTTTGATGTTCAAACTTCATTTTGTTTCTAAAAACCATCCAATTTTCAAATGTTTTGGCCTTGTACAGCCTTCAAGAGAGTTGCTCAAGCTACAGCAAGGCAGGAGAGAGGAGTATCAGAGCTGTTCCCTACTTGGGCACCACCATTTCAGAAGAATGACTAGGAATAAAGCTAGAAATTAACTTCTGGAGACAGAAAAAACCTCCACCTAACACAGAAACAACCCACAGAAAGAGTCAGGGTAAGACAATCAGAGTCACAGCTTTAAATGTGTGAGGTTTCACAGCAGAAGGAAGGAAGGGAGAGTGGAATCTCTCTGGGCTGCTGGGTCAGCTCCCTTTGCTGGGTCCCAGCTGCTGCTAACTTGGGAAACAGCAGATGCAACAGTTTTTCACTGTGAAATCTTTTAGGAAGGAAGTTGTGGGAGTACAGCACATGAGAGTTTCAGAAACACCAGGTCTGCATTTCTGGACACAACGAGGGAAACAGGCAGGGTTGGACTCACCCAGTTTGATGACAAAGTTGAGGAATTCTCCAGTGAGAAACTAGAAAAGACAGACAGTAGTTTATTAACACCCTCAAATGTGAAGGTGTAAAAGCACCTAGAGCTATTATGATATTTATTATCTTATACACTTGTTGCACAGCTTTGATCAAAGCCCTTGGCCACCTGGCCAGTCCATGGGAAAAACTAATTGAATGCCATTGGAACAGGGGAGGGATGCCTCAAATGTCCCATAGAAACATTGTAAACTGATGGCTCAGAACTCCCCACAAACCTTCAAGCTGCCCAAGCCCAAGAGGGGTGAAGGCAGAGCTGATCTGGGACAGCTTTCTGCCCAACATCATGTAGGCTATCCCTAGAATATTCCTAGTCAAGAGGCTTGGCCACTGTGGGTTTGTTCAAGGAAAAAGGTCAGGCCATTGCTCCCTTGCATGGATGAGATTGGAGAGCTGAAGGGTGAGGCAGATCTTGGTTAAAACTTAGCAGGGACTGGTCAAAAAGGTGAGGAGGGATGAATAACAAGCAGAGGGTTGGAACTGAAAGGATTTTCCTTCCATAGAGCTACCTCGGGGTACAGATGACAAAAACCACATGGAAAAGAGCCCCAATAAAACTCAAGCAGAAAGAAGGTTGCTCCCAGTGGGACCAGGGAAGACACTGTACCTGATACTTCTGTGCCAAGGCAAGGTCTGGCTTTGCAAAGGCTTGCAGCATCAGATTGGTTTTTCGGCCCAAATAGTTGTATGTACTGCCAAAACAAACCCAAAAACAGACCAAAAATAGAATTGGTAAATGCAAAGGATGAACTTAGAGCCACCAAAACAAAAGAAGTACCCCCAGGCTTTTGCTGTTGACATAGAAATGTCACTGTTAGGAGAGAACTTCCTGCAACCTGTGTGTGCTTTGTACTGTGAAGCACCTGAAAGTATGCCAGCCCTACAGAAGAGTTTGGAGAGCAGCTTTCTCTTCCCAGTTCTTTCCAAATAGAACTGCTTTTCAATTAAAACCAAAAAGGACAGCATCAGGCAATAAAGAAACTCAATCACTTCATTTTCCAGTTGCTTGGTCATCTAATGGATCATCTAGAGAGGAACACAGGATCACAGTAATTCATCTGAGCAGCCTGGTAGGAGGGGCAGAAGATAAATCAGACATTAAGCTCAGCAGAGCTTTTCCTCACAGACTTCTCATATAAACTAGTGATTTTATCCTCTCTTCCTTACCCGTATAATGAAGATAGAAGTGATTCCCTACTACAAAAGTTGCCATGAGGATAAAAAGTACGTTGAAACCTTTGGGTCAGCAATAAACACCCAAAGGAACATAATCCAAGATCTCAGGTTATATGACTGTGCCAGCACTAGTACTGGGGCTGGATTATCTATCTGTTTGCCTCTGTACATTCCCACCCTGAAAAATCCTCTGCTGCAGTGACAGAAGACAGTCAGGGAAATACTGTGCAGACAGTGAAGATACAACAACACAGTGTGGAGGGGAAGGAGTCCAAGCCATACTGACCTTCCAACTGCTCCATCTGCCCCTATTGCCAGTGCACCCAACAGTTGCTAGTTTGGGGTGGGGGGAGAAAAAAATAAACAAAATTTTACTTCATGTAATAAAATAAAGCAAACAAAAGGGGTGGTGAGAGGGAGCAGTGAGGCTGCCTGGCACTCAGTGCCCAGGGTGATTTTTTTTTTTCCCCAGGGCTGAAGCAAGAGAATATCTTAGAAGTAAGTATTTTTCAGAGGAGCCTCTTACCTCATCCACCCCATAAAGGAATTCCAGCTGCTCTGTTTCATTCTTGCTGATGCACTGTGCAAGGTCCAGGAGGTCTGTGTCGCTGAACTTCACGCCCTGGAAGGTTGGGATCCGTGTTTTTATCCCCTCCAGCAGCTCTTCCACACGTACTGTGCACAACAGCAACCTCATGTGAAGCAACACACACCTGTCTGGGAGAGTTCCCTGCCTTGGCCCAAGAGGGAGGATTAATATTTTACAAGTTGTTTGCTTTTGGCCTAAGCCTAGTACACTATACAGGTCTAAAACAAAAAGACAACTTCAGTGTGGTTATTTCCCAGAGTGATAGAAATATCAGAATGTGAAACCTCTGGATAAGTGAAAGTTTAGGAATAAACTGGTAACAGCATATTTAAGACTAAATACAAATTCATCCATCAGAAACAGCACATAACCTGCTGCCCAGAGCAAATACTCAAAGGTCTGTACTCTGTACTTACTCTTCACACCTGTCAGAGGAGGAATGTGGTAGTAATAAAAGGGAACTGCAGGGGCTTCAGCTGCAACCTTCTGCAGGAAAGCAACCAGCTCATCTGGAAGGAAACAATCAGGTATTGCCATGAGCAGGAGACTGTCCATGGGGAGGGACAGTTCAGATTCACAGCAGCAGGGGCTGTGGAGAGCTCACAGCTTGTGCACCATACACAGCAAGTCATACAGGTCCTTCACACACATGTAACATTAAATAGGACAAAAATCAGGGGAAGACCTTCAGGAAGGCAAAGACAAGATGTATTTTAAACCAAACCCATTTCAGGAAGTCACACTCACTCTCTTCCAGGTGTAAGTCAGCCATGCTCTCACATGTGCAAGTCTTGTGTGCCAAGTGGCCTCACCAGGATCACTTGTGTGCAACAGAGGACAAGGGATCAAGTTCACCTTCACTGCCCCAGGGCACTGCTTGGTGTGATGCTGAACAGCTTTGCTGACAACTTTTTGTACCATTTTAAGTCTCAAAAAGTTATTATGGCTGAAATTCTTCCCAAGAATCTTATTCACTGCATCCTTCACAGATCTCAGGCAATTTTGCCATTGGTACAGCTGAAGAGGAATGGCAAAACCCAATGTGCTGAGACCTCACTGCCATCCTACTCTCTGCAAGGTCTTCTGCTGATCTCTGTGAGCACCACTTGGATTGCTCTTGACTGTGTCCTGGCTATCACCACCAGCCATTCTGGCAATCCAACCCTGGTTTCTTCTGGTCCTTTCATGTCAACATTTCCATGCATGTTCCTGTCCCTGCCCAGGGCAGGGGGTTGGGACTAGATGATCTGTAAGGTCAATTCCAACCCTTAAAATTCTATGATTCTGTGATTAATTCAGACAGCTTTTAACATTTCTGTTACAAACCTGCACTTCATTTCGTTTTTTTACACCATGTTCATGATCTTTTTTCCTGTTACAAACCTGCACTTCATTTCGTTCTTTTATGCCATGTTCATGATCTTTCTTGAAAGCAAAACACTCAGTTTTTTTAAGTTCTGAGGTAGCCTTAGGTGGACAGAACAAAGCCTGATCCCCTCAGTAACAAGAGGCACAGCTATATATCAGCAGTTCATCAATCTGGTCCATGCCCAGCAAGGGACAGCATGGAACCAACTGCTTCCTAGGGTGGTCTAGATCAAGTGTCAACTCCACAGTCTATTCAGAACACAGACTCTTTCCATAAACAACCCTTCATTTTACAAGAGGCTAACAAAACACATCCCAAAAAACATCCTGCCCACTGGGAGAATTTGGCTATCTCCCATCTTTAAAAAATGCTGCTCCTAGGTTTTGCTTTTGCATGGCATCAGACATGACAGATGTGCAAACATTCCCACTAGAACATTCTCCAAAGAAAGAAGGTGGCATTAATCTTTTCTATGTGATAAAGGTTTGGAGGGCAATAAAATGACCTCAGCAAACCTACTCACCTTTGTTTGTGGGCTTGAAGAAGAAAGGGGCTATGACAGCAATGCCATTAGCACCTATGGCTGCTGCATGTCTTGCCTGTAAAAGACAGAAAAGAAAGTACCTGAAGGTACATCTGCTGATATTTATCACACACACAGTGAGAAAAGAGTCGTATCATATACACACCAGCTCCTGGGACTCTGGCAGGCTCAGTGCTCCCACGTGAATGATCACATGGTCCAATCTGCACAAAAAAACACATTCAGAAGGTTCAGGGAGGTTTCATAGTTTCATAGTATGTTAAGGGGTTGGGATGGAGCTTAGAGATGATCCAGCCCCAAGCCCTGCCCTGGGCAGGGACACCTCCCACCAGAGCAGGTTGCTCAAGGCTCATCCAACCTGGCTGTGAACACTGCCAGGGGTGGGGCAGCCACAGCCTCCCTGGGCAACCTGGGACAGTGTCTCACCACCACAACAGGGAAAACTTCTGGCTGATATCTAATCTAAATTTCCCTCTTTCAATTTATCCCCATTACAGGAGTTTCAGTGATGGTGAAAAATACCAGGCTGCCAAAATGACTCACTTCAGCCCAGGAGCCACAGAATGAGAACTTCACTGAGCTAGATGAAAGCTAAGAAGGATTTGAGTCTGTGCTGACCTGATGAGCAGACACACATGGAAAATGCCAGCAGTGGCAAGCAGCTGGTGGTGGAAAAAAGAAACCACATTTGCAAACACAAATCATGTGTGCCTCCTTGCTGAGGGACTTGCAAGGCTGTCAGGGGGAACAAATCTTAGTGTTTTATTAGCAAGTTGAAGGATTTAAGGGGAAACTGGGAAAAGGAAAAGATATTAAAGCATAACCTTGCTTTCTTAACCTATTTCTCAGCAGCCCTACCAGAAGAGGTCAAGTTCACAGCAGCATCTTTGACTGCTTGTCTGCTCCTGCCAAGGGAATCTCCCAGCTTCCAGGCCCTCAATCCCACTGCTGTTTTTCTCCTTTATATCCATAGGAGATATGGATATAAAGGCTGTGCATGTGAAGGCTGTGAGCCTGCACACCAGTTTAGTTCTGCTCACTATCCTTCACCCCCTTCTCCACCCTCTGAGAGAGCAGTGAAGAGGAAGGCAGCATGAGGGATATGAGGCTATGGCAGGTACAAGGGATGGAAATGCAGTTGGATACAGAGCTGCAAGTCCAGCTGAATTCCTTCCTCTGTCAGTGATGTTGCACCTTTAGGGAAGCAGGTAAACACTTGACACCACAGCTTCAGTCCTACCAAATAATTTAATATACTGAAAGGTTCAGAAATGCTCTTGTATTTCTTCTCAAGAATAAGCAAAGGGTACAGCCCTTTTTTCCCCCCCAAGCCCTTTCTTGTCCCCTCAGTGTACCAAAGAGGACTCTCTAAGCAGCAGAAATGGACACCAGCTAACTGGCAGTGACAAAACCACACTCTGCTGTGCTAAAGGAGCTGGGGAACACAGCCCAGCAACAGAATACTAAAATGAAAAGGTGTCAGCAAATGTGGCTTTGCAGTCAGGCATGGCTGTATCACATCATGAGATCTGGAACCCCCTGTTCCCTCTCAGCTACTCACTTGTCTTTTCCTTGGCACATCCATTCTTCTGCCAGCTGCTTCCTCTCCTGGATGCTAAGGGACAGGCCCTCTCCTGTCGTGCCATTCACTGTTCCGACACAACACAACACACGTCACTGAAGGCAAGAACTGACACTTTTTGAGTTGAGAAGAATCATTCAGTTGTGTCTTCTCTGCCAACACAGCATTATCCAATCACCTCTAGGAATGTCACTGTATGAGGGCAATACTCATTTTACCCCACACAGAAATGGGGTGTGGGCAAAAGCAGATGCCTTAAGGACCTCTTGCACTCTCTCCACTGGTGGATATAAATGGCCAGGGTGATCCCACATCTGACTATGGGACCATCTTCCCACTACAGCTCTTATCAGGTAAGGTATCATATAATTCCCATCCAGGCAAAACAGGTGTAAAGAAGTTTGTCAGAAAAACTTACCAAAGACATTCTTCACATTCTGCTCCTTTATCAGATAATCCACGTACTGACGGATCACTGGGAGGTTAATTTGTCTGTAAGGAAAGGAACCACAGCCACCATAAGTCTCCACCCACAGTTATCTGCAACTTAGAAAGCAAGAAACCAACCCAAAGACATGCATTTGTGAAAACTTGTATTTGCACACACACAGATTGCCCCAAGGTACAACACCCTCAGCATCTTTTCAACATCTGAGCTAACAGCTCAGCTCTGAATTCTTTTCTTCCAGCTTCTCTTCCTCCTAACACTCCTCACTGTTTCAACCTTTTCTCTCAGTTGGGAATTACTGCAGGCTTGTCACAGCAAAGGACTTTTTCGCAGCGCTATGAGAGAACAAGAGGCACTCAAACCTTTTCAGCTGCTGAGGGAACAGAAGTCCTTGAGAGCACAAAGATGTTTGTGCAAGTGCTGGCAAAGAGTTAAACTGTGCTTGTAACTGCTGGACAGGGACAGTGAAATGGCATCTGCTGGATGTGACTTTGACCTCTCTCTCTCTCATTAAAGGATGAGGAAAACAACAGACTTCCCTAACAAACAAGGAAAACTGAATCCTAGGTTTATCTTCTCTGCAGGACAAACTTGCTTTGTTTACCAGTGTGTAATATTATGCTGTTGTTTTCATTTGTCAATACCACAGACCAACCCTATAGTCTGGAAGCCAGTTCTGGTGCCTTGACTGGCTTTACACATCACCCAAAATTCCACAGTTGTCTTCCCAGAACGTAGCAGACAAGGACAGTTCCAGGCAGAGGGTTCAGGTCACTCTCTAAATGCCATATGGCTTTAAATTTGAGTTGCAATAAAAAATGAAGTCAGAGACAAACTTCCTTTAAAGCAAGAATGAAAGCAGTGACTGTGATGGAATGAGCTCCCTGACTGGGGCAGTGCCAAACTTTACAGCACTTCTAAAAAGTTCAGTTTTTGAGGTTTGTAGTGGCAAATCTCACCTGTCTCCCTCAAAAGCAAATAGAGTTCCTGACACTTCCCCCAGCAGAGCACACTTGCTGACTCCAAACAGCTCTGTCTTGCAACACCAAAACAGAGTCAGGAGGATTTCTGTGTGCCAGCCCTGCTCCGAGGAGAGCTGAATTTCAAGTTTCTGTTTGATGCTATTTGCAGAACTGTGCTGTCCTTGCAGTGTTTTCTTCAGGCTTAGACTAACCCTGTGCACACATGCACACAGGATGAGTCAGCTGAGGTAAAGAGAAGTCTGAAAGGCCCTACAGATTCTGACAATTCTAGCTCTCAAGAGCTCTTTTTAACTAGGACTGTGATTTTCCTTAGCAAACATGAAAACACCACAATACTCTACACATATAACCTTACTGTGATTTAATTTGCACGTACAAAGCAGCAGAGAAAGAGATGTGAGACTGATCCAAACCTACAGCCCTTGCTGGGCAACAGGAGGAGGCAGAGGCAAGGGAATCTCACTGGTCCTAGTGGGACCAACCTAATAGCTCCCCCATCCCATCGGGGATCTGATTTTAAAAAACCCAAACAACACAAACCCGAAACTAACAAATAAACAAAGCAGATCAGTTCCAAACAGGAAAGAAGAAAATAGGGGTGTAAGGAGACAGTGCAGCTTTGACAACTCACCCATCAGGAGTCATTGGAGTGATTGTAGCAGCTACCAGACCCTGTAACTTCTTCATGCGTTTCATTGAGCTGTTTGGAAAAGAAAAGGGTATAAATCACTGCCGGCCCCGCTCGAGCCCGGCTGAGCGGGCAGGAGGCGGAGAGAGGGGCGGGAGCCGCGGCACCAGCTGACTGGGAGCCCATCCTCGGCCAGTCCTCCCTGTCCAGCGCATCCTCACCCTGCTCTCCTTGTCCAGCGCATCCTCACCCAGCTCTCCTTCTCCAGCTCATCCTCAGCCAGCTCTCCTTGTCCAGCCCATCCTCGTCCAGCTCTCCTTCTCCAGCTCATCCTCAGCCAGCTCTCCTTGTCCAGCCCATCCTCGTCCAGCTCTCCTTCTCCAGCTCATCCTCAGCCAGCTCTCCTTGTCCAGCCCATCCTCGTCCAGCTCTCCTTCTCCAGCTCATCCTCAGCCAGCTCTCCTTGTCCAGCCCATCCTCGTCCAGCTCTCCTTCTCCAGCTCATCCTCAGCCAGCTCTCCTTGTCCAGCCCATCCTCGTCCAGCTCTCCTTCTCCAGCTCATCCTCAGCCAGCTCTCCTTGTCCAGCCCATCCTCGTCCAGCTCTCCTTCTCCAGCTCATCCTCAGCCAGCTCTCCTTGTCCATCTCATCCTCACCCAACACTCCTTGTCCAGCCCATCCTCAGCCACAGATCCATGTCTCTGTGTGAGAGAGGCAAACTGAGGTCAGGCTATGACAAGACAGCAGCAAACAGTGGCTCATGAGGAGCTAAAGCTGCTCCTCAGATGCAGCTCAACATGTGGCTCTAGCACATGCAGTGCTGAGCGTGGGCCCCATGGCAGCTGTGCCCAGCACAATCCTCCTCCATCCCACCAGAGCTACAGATGGCTTGGACTTTTAGTCTTCTCCCAGTAGATCTGATCACCAGACAACCAACAGAGCACCAGCACCACTGAAGGTGATGCCCTGAACAGCTCCATGGCAGTAACCCATTCTGCCTTCAGTGTGAACTTCCAGTTCTTCCCTTAGAGCATGTTTGGAGAGCACCCAGTGCCTGCAGAGAACAATCCCCTGTTGTTGTGTGCTCTGGGAGCACATTTTTCATGTAGTCACACAATAATCTCAGAAGTTGGGGCTGTGGTATTCCTCCTCCACCCCGAAATATGCTCCCTGTGGGTTGTTTGTATGCAGAGATCACTTTCCCTGGGGTTTGGTGTTAATAACAGCTCCTCACATACCACATGCATTCTCCTTCTCTTCGAGGCTCATTTCCTTCTTCCAGAAACCTCTTCTCTACACTCTCCCATTCCCATGGGTCATTTATCTTCCTCCAGGCTCAACAGTTCCAGCTCTCACAACCTGTTCCACCTCCCCAAAAGATCAGTGTGTTTCAGGAGGTTCAGAGACAATTCAGTGCTCTGCAGAGCCAGTTAGAAAAAGGTCACAAGATATTCTGTGTTTTAACAGGGGAGAAGTTTTACAGTAGCTTGGAGTGGTTTAGAGCTGCTTAGAACAGTCTGCAGGAGTCACAGACTGGTCTAGAAGGGTTTTAGAGCAGCTCAGAGCTCTTCAGAGGGATTTTAAAGCTGTGTAGAGGACTTCAGACTTGCAGAGATTTAGAGGCATTTGAGATGCATTTAGAGACATATTAGTGCTGCTTATAGCAACACAGAGGAGCTTTAAATCAATTTTGAGGTGCTCTGAGGGTTTCAGAAGAGGTTTAGAAGAGTTAAAGGAGTTTAGAGAGCTTTACAGGAGTTCTGGCAAACTCTACAGGATTTCAGAGCTGCTTTATAAAGGTTTAGAACTGTTTATAGAGGGTTTAGAGGACTGAGACCAATTCAGAGTGGGTTTAGAGGGCTTCAGGGAAGTTTTAGCACTGTTTCTCTAAGCAGGAGTCTCAGAACTACAGAAAGGAGTTCTAGAGCCATGGCAAGGAAGCTGAGAGGGGTTTTGAGATCAGTGTTGAAGCATTTTACTGCTGCTTAAAGCAGTGTGGAGGAGTTCTAGGTGTTAGTGTTGTTCAGAGGATTTTCAGAGTGGTGGAGTGGAGGTTTTAGAGGGATTTGGAGCTTCTCACCATTGTTTGTAGCCAATCAGAAGAGTTTCAGAGCTGTTTCAATGGGTTGTAGAGCAGCGTGGTGTATTTTAGAGGTATTCTGGAGCTCTTTGGAGAGGCCCAGGCTGGTTTAGCACTCTCCAGAATCACTCATTATTTTAAAAGGTGTAACTATAGCTCTTCAAGAGCCACAACCCCGGGGCAGAGGGTTGGAACTATAAGCTCTTTAGGGTCCCTTCCAACCCAAACCATTTCATGATTCTCTGGTTCAGGCTGGTGTGTTTACTGCATAAAAGTTGTTGAACATGCCAATATGCTAATTTTTTAGATGTTAAATGCTTCAATGCTTAACCTTCCCATTAACAGTCAACAGAATCTGACCAAATTTCTGGATGTGGAAATAGAACTATGAGGGTGCACTGGATCCATTAGTGAGCTGAAGTGACCACTGGCCATCAGGAGAGTTTGAGTATGAAAGGAAAAGTCACCCCTGAACACAACCAACAGTGCCATCTGCTGCAGAGTGTGGCATTGGCTCATCCTGGGAAAGGAGAGCAGAGGGACCAGGGTGTGGAAGAATCATCTCTGGAAGCTTTAGTCAGATCTTCTTTCTAGCAAGGATTGTTACCTCCTCCCCTGAATGAGATGCTCCTGTCTTGAAGATAAAAATTCACCTTGTTTCACATTCTTGTATCTGAGAAGGATCTGTCAATAGCAGAACATGGATGAATTTGTAGGGGAAGGTGAATTCATCTCCTCTCCTTCCAGCACTCAGAGAGGACTGGAGGTGTCTGTGGATTTAAGCAAGTATTAAAGCTGGCTAAAGAAGTTTACTGAGACAATTGCTCGTGGGGTTCAGCTGCTAGCTACACCCCTGAACAGATCCATATGAAAAATAACCCTTATTTTGGAAGAAAGCCAGTGAATAAAGCCATATATAAAGCTGAGATAGCTGTTCTCTGGGCAATATGCACAGAACACAAGAAGGTTTTGGAATATTTTTCATGGCAGCTAGAAGGATTGATCCAGTTAGGATTAATTCCCCAAACCTAGATGATTCAAAAATGTGACCTTCAGCAGAGAAATCTTGGAAAATGCCAAGTCAAGAGTGCCCTGGAGTGGTGTTGGCTGTAGGAGGCTGTTTGTTTGGTGAAGAGCAGCCAGTTCCATGTGTGAAAGGAGTCACTCATTCAGCAAGTCACAGCTGTCCAAGGTAGCAGAGAGATAAAGTAGTTTCAGGTGTCATTTGGAACAAACTAGCTGGAATCAGGCAAAAACCACCAACAAAATCCACAGACACATTTCCAGGAGCAAATGATTTTTGGCTGAAGACCAAATGGCAACAAATTGGTGTGTCGATGTAAACTGTGTAGGGTGGAGGATAAGGTCTAAGTACCACCTCACTGCACTTCTGGCAGAGATTTTGTTTCCACAACTTGCAGTGCTAATAAGGAATAACCTTGGAACAATACTATAGTGCATTCAACTGCTTCTTTAGAATATGGTTTGCTTCTGCTTCCTCATTTTCCATGCTGGAAGTAAGATGTAAATGGAGGCTTTCTTTTTCCTTAGAGCAAGGAGATAAGAGGTTTCTTTTGGGAGATGAATTTGCAGCAAACCACTGCTCATCTAACAACATACAAAGACACTTTTGCTGCCCTGGACAAGAACTACCATGAACATCACATGCTCAACTTCTTTCCTGTGGAGTGTCTGTGTCAACTGATACGTGTGTGTGCGTGCAAAGGCCATTTTTATGTGAACAGACTCAGCTCTTCTAAATGAAAATCACTGTCAAGCACCAGGCTGACTGATGCTCTGACAGACTCAGGCAGCAAAGCCAAACTGCCTGGAGCTTTGGGTTGAGATGTGTGAGTAGCCAGACAGGAGACACTCTGTCCCTCACACACATCTTCGTATTACGCTACAGAATCATCAGCTACACGAACATGACTCAAAGTTATCATTAACCACGCTGTAACAATGCATTTTTTTTCCCTGGGTTTCTCCAAGCCTGACACAATTAGGTCAGTGGAAAAGATTCCTGGCTTTTGTGCCAGCAGCCTGTGTTTGCCTCTAGGGATAAAGGTGACTTACAACAGCACTGCGTGGATGTGACAGCAGCGATTGTGGTGCTGCCACAGAGCAGATGGAAGCAGTTTTGCTGTGGAACATGTTGCTTAAGGTCTTGCCTGGGCTTCCTACAGAGAGGAAAAGTGGAAATCACAAGGGATCATATCACAGGCTTGTCCTTATACTTATCCCACCGAATCTATTACCACAGTCCCAGTTCATTCCAGTGTTCCTGCACAGAAGTGCCTGATGAAAACAGTAAAATCAAGGTACATTCCATGTGCTTTCCTGTGCTTGTGCCCTCATCTCTCCTCCTTAAAGCAACAGTGCAGAACAACATTGCTCTGTCAGGTTTTCTAGAAAATACCAGCAAGTCCCAGGCATATGTATGACATTAAACAGAGGTGTCATAGGCCAGTTGTGAGACTTAAGGACTGCTGCATACTCAGATTTTCCCCTGCTTGGGGGTACCAGTGAGACTGTGTGTCAGCCTTCAGAATTCCATCCCTATCCCCTAATTATATACAGTTTGGGAATGTATATAGTTATATATACATGTCCTCATAGTTGTATGCATGTGCTCATGCCTGCCCCACTGTCTCATGCAGCTGTTGACATGTTCTCCCAATGTCTATGTGAAAAACAAGACTGTTGGAAAACAACCTCTCGGGAAAACACTGAGGATTGTTCTCCAGCCTGGGGCTGCTCCACCAGGAACAGTCAGCTCTTTGTCAGGGCCATCAGCTGGACATATACAAACTGAGTGGGGGTTTGTTTGGGGCCTCTCTGCCTCAGAAATGAGAACCCACTGTGGGCCTGTGTTTATCTACAGAGAAATTGTGCACCTTTCAAGGCAATACTTCTTAGTGGGGTAAATTTGTGGAGATTTGGCATTGGAATGTGCTGCCCAGGGAGGTGGTGGATTCACCATCCCTGGAGG